TTTATGAAGGGTTTCTCATCAGGATTTCTTATCAAGATTCTCAATCGCTCATGTGGGTTTCTTTAGGGTTTCTTTAACGTTTCATTTAGGGTTTCATTCAGGGTTTCTTTGGGCTTCATTAAGGGTTTCATTCAGAGTTTCTTTAGGGTTCCATGTAGGGTTTGATTCAGGGTTTCATTTAATGTTTCTTCAGGGTGTTATTTAGGGTTCCTTTGGGGTGTCATTTCCAGTTTCTTTAGTGTCTCGTTTAGGGTTTCATTTACGGGTTCTTGAGGATGTAAGTTTGGGTTCCATTTAGGGTTTCAATCAGAGTTTTTTAGTGTGTCGCTTGAGATTTCTTTAGGATGCCATTTAGGGTTTCATTCAAAGTTTCGTTAGGGTTTCATTTGCGGTTTCTTTAGGTTAATTTATGGTTTCTTTGGGGTTCATCTAGTGTTTCATGTAGGGGTTTCTTATCAGGAGTTCTTTTCAGGAATTCTTTAGGGATTCTTTAGGTTTCACCTAGGGTCTTTAAGGTTTTGTTTTGGATACAAACAGGAGAGAATAAAGCAAAAGAATTAGGGTTTCAATTAGGGGTTCTTTAGGATTTCATTGAGGGATTCTTTAGGGTTTCATTTTAGGTTTCTCTAGGATTTACATGTTTTAGGGTTTCATTTAGGGTCTCTGTAGGGTTTCATGCAGGATTTGATTTAGGGATTCGTTAAGGTTTCATTTAGGGTTTAATTTAGAGTCTTATGTACGGTTTCTTATCAGGAATTCTCATCAGGGTTTTCAAACGTTCATGTGAGTTTATTTAGCGTTTCAGTCAGGGTTTCATTTAGAGCCTCTTTAGGGTTTCATTTAGGGGCTCATTCAGGGTTTTCTTTAGGGTTTATATAAGTTTTTTTTGTTTCTTAGGGTTTATTTAAGGTCTCTTTAGTGTTTCATTTAGGGTTTCGTTTACGGGTTCTTCAGGGTTTCAGGTTGGGTTCCATGTAGGGTTTCATTCAGAGTTTTTTGGAGTGTCGTTTAGATTTTTTTTCTTTCATTTAGGGGTTTAATCTAGGGTTTTACGTGGGGTTTCTTATCAGGAATTCATATCAAGATTTTCACACGTTCATGTTGGTTTCTTGAGGATTTCATTAGTGGTTTCATTCAGGGTTTCTTTAGGTTTTCATTTAGGGTTTGATTTAAGTTTTCTTTATGGTGTCATTTAAGGTTACGGTTTCTTTAAGGTTTCATTTAAGGTTGCTTTAGGGTTTCTTTAGGGTCTTTAGGGTTTAATGTAGGATACAAAAAGGACAGAATAAAGCAAAATGAAAGAAAGAAAACAAATAGGCAGTAAAGACAGGAAGCAGAGAAGCAAAGGAGCAGAGGAGCAGGAAGTAGAGCGGCAAAAACGCATGACTGGGGAAAAGAAAAAGTAGAATAGTAGTAGTAGAAGTAGAAAGGCATAGAAGCACAAAAGCAGAAAAGCTGAGAAGCAGAAAAGAAAAGAAGCCGGTAAAGCAGAGAAGCATGAAAAGCAGAGAAGCAGGAAAAGCAAAAAGCAGGCAACGCAAAAAGCAGAAAAGCAGAGAAGTAGACAAGCAGAGAAGCAGCAAAAGCAAAAGGCGGACAAGCAGAAACGCAGAGAAGCAAAGAAGCAGAAAAGCAGAACGGCAGAACAGCAGAAAAGCAGAGAAGCAAGAAAGCATAGAACCAGGAACCAAAAAAAATCCAAAACCTGCCGCGGAAACAAAATATCAATCCCAAGGAATTTAATGAATTTCATGGGGTCCGGAAAGCAGATCCAGGGGGTCAAAAAAGCAAGGTGGGGGGTCAAAGAAACAAGGTGGGGGATCAAAAAAACAAGGTGGGGGTCAAAAAAACAAGGTGGGGGGTCAAAAAAACAAGGTCAGGGGGTCAAAAAAAAACAAGGTGGGGGGTCAGAAAAACAAGGTTAGGGGGTTTAAAAAACAGGGGGTCAAAAAAACAAGGTGGGGGGTCAAAAAAACAAGGGGGGGGTCAAAAAAACAAGGTGGGGGGTCAAAAAAACAAGGGCCCCGTGAGCAAAACGTGAAGGTTTTGTAGCAGTTTCAAAAATGATGGCAGTCGTGGGACATTTGAAGAGGATCTGGACAGATGCATGTCGCATGGCAGGCGCAGTACAAGAGACACATGAGTTAGATGTGTTAGGAGATCAAGGCGGGGATTTCCTGAGAGGGGTTGAATTTTGGAGCATGAGATCTTCAGTTTTGCAAAGATGATTTTGCGTGACAGGTGCAGCACTTCGTATGACCTGGCCTCACTTTCTCGTGACAGGCGCAATACTTTAGAGAGATGGAGTAGAAAATTGCAAAACGCATTGGCACGAGGCCGTCAGCTCTGCACTCAATTTTCCATTATTGAAGGAAGTCTTGCAGAATTGCTTAGTTTTTGATGTTGCCAACTTGACAAATTGAGGAAGGCTCGCAGAATTGCTTCGTTTTTGACGTTATCAAGTTCAAAAGGTGAGGAAGTCTGGAAGAATTGCTTCGCTTTTGACTTTGTCAAGTTCTAAAATTGAGGAAGTCTCGCAGAATGGCTTCGTTTTCAAACTTGCAAATAGACAGACAGCCAGACAGACAGACAGACAGATAGCTAGATAGATAGATAGATGGATAGATAGATAGATAGATAGGTAGATAGATACATAAATAGATAGATAGGTAGAGAGATAGATAGATAGATAGATCGATAGATAGATAGATAGATAGCTAGATAGATAGATAGCTAGATAGCTAGATAGCTAGATAGATAGCTAGATAGATAGCTAGATAGCTAGATAGCTAGATAGATAGACAGATGGATGGATGGATGGATAGATAGATGGATAGATAGATGGATGGATGGATAGATAGATGGACAGATAGATAGATAGATAGATAGATAGATAGCTAGATAGCTAGATAGCTAGATAGATAGCTAGATAGCTAGATAGCTAGATAGCTAGATAGCTAGATAGCTAGATAGATAGATAGATAGATAGACAGATGGATGGATAGATAGATGGATAGATAGACAGATACATAGATAGATAGACAGACAGACAGACAGATAGATAGATAGAGAGGTAGATAGGTAGATAGGTAGACAGATGGAGCAACAGAAAGACAAATAGATAAACAGATATATAGATATACAGATAGATAGACAACTGCAACTGCACTACACCACACTACAACTTCAACCACAACTACAACTACACTACCACTACAACTACAACTTCAAGTACACTTCAACTACACTTCAACTACAACTTCAACTTCAACTACACACCTACAACAACAATTACCACGACACTACACTACAACTACAACTACAGCTACAATTACAGCTCCTGCAACTATTGCAACTACTACAATTACTATAATTAAGACAATTACAACTTCAACTACACTATAACTACAACTACAACCACAACCACAACTACAACTACAACACTACAACTTCAATAACATCAACTCCACTACAACTACAACTACAACTACAACGACTACAACTACAACTACTGCATTACACCACACTACATCCAGGAGTTGTGAGTCAGGTGACCATTGCAACCATTGCAACCACTCCAAAAAGCACAACTCCAACCACCTTTCGGCCCATCAGTGGACTTGCTTTGCCATCCACGCATCACAACAACGCACCTCTCCTATAGTGTCCTGTCCTTGAAACTTCCGAAACCGCCTTGTGCGGTACTACTGGTAAACGTATATGTGCTCTTCCCAAGCTGCTCCTCCTCCTTTGAAGAATTAGCACAAATCCGCCATAGATGCTGGTCTTGTGGCTTTTTAGCTTGGGACCCACAATAGCCCAACATTCGTGTGAAGCAGCAAAGAAGCTTGCAGAATCTTAAAATCTTATGGTCAAATAGTGGTGAGCCCGATTAGACGCAAGCTTTGAGGGAGCTCAAAAAAATATGGGGCAAATACCCAGAGCATCTATGAAACATACCAGCAAATACCAATCAAGTTGGTCACTTCAAGGCAGACTGCTTCCCTGTAGACGCCTCCATCACATCAGCTTCAGGACACTGCTTGGTCGCCAGGCCATGCCAACAGGGGAGCAATTTTAAACATTGGTTTGGCTTTGAACCTGTTGGGTACCCCAAATCCAAAGGTTTTAAGAACCCAAACCCAGAGGTCAAAATCATTTCAAATCTGATGTTCCACATTGACACGGCCTTTGGGGTATACCTCATTTCAAGAATAATCCACTACTCTTGTTGGCCTTCCCATAGCTAACCTCCAAACCGGATCAACTAGAGTACCATGATTGACAACACACCACTACCCCTGCGCCAGCACGACTTGCATACCATACTTGCAGCAAGCATTCTGATGGGATTATGCCAAGACTCCGACAATCTCGATTGCACAAATGGCAATGTGGCGCAACCAAACTATTGTTGGCAATGACAGCAGGATCCTTTGACATACAGTGATCCGTGAAGCCTTCCTTTCGTAGTCATCTCCTTCGGGGTCCATGGGGGATCAACCGATCAACCTCTTCAGCACTGATCAATGGTCCATCACATTTTCTGGTGTCAAAGGCGTCAAGGACCCTATGATGTCATCGCCTTTTACGAGGCCAGTGCAAGGGTTTGGTGGGGAAGGCGCGAGTCAGCGGTGATTTCCGATTTCGGTGAATGCTTACACCACTGGAGACCTCTCGTTTACACCACTGGTTGCTTCTTGAGCCCCGGAGAAAATGAAACCCCCAACCAGCACTAATTTTGAAAGTGGCCGATCCATGGCAGGGTATGCGGAGCATGTAAAACCGCATGGGCGTCAATGAAGCCACTGCTACCTGAGTCTAATAGTATACAAGGAGGCCATTTATCCTCCAAATGGTTTGGAAAATTCTGAACACCTGGTTGAAAAGAAATCTCAGGTCGTGTCGGTTAAGGGAATTTCCTCAGTGGATCAGCCAACAACCACTCCTCAAACAGTTTGCGCAAACAGAGATAGATCTAAAGGGCCACCGCTGATTCTGTGGATCCCAGTGGTGGAAGCAATTCATATGACACTCCTGAAAGAAATATTATGTTCACCATGACACTCCAGCTTTGCATACAGCCACCGTCTTCGAAACGGAATGTTTCCGGGCATGATTTTTCCTCTGCCTTCAACTTAGCCCCCCTCAGCCGGCGAAAACTCTGCTCAAGGTTGCGGAATTGACAAGGAGGAGAAGCTGTCACTGCAATCTCCCAACCGATCCTTGGAGGATGGCGGTGATCTTTTTCCTTTGCGCTCTCTGGATTGGTTCCCAGGTTCGATGGTCACGCTCTCAGCGCCCATCGGCTGAACCTTGGTCGACCCACCGAAATAGTTCCAGAAGCGTTGCAAGCCACGCCGCGGGGTCTCGGCCTCAGTCAGCTGGAGATTGGGATGACAAGGCGGGCGGCGGAAGTTTCATGCAGCAAGAAATGTTGTACTATAGGAGTGAAGGACAAGTTTTGCCTATAGGAGTTGGCGTGAAGCCTCAGGTCTTCTGGACTCTGTTCTGTGAATTCGCCCTCATCTTGCCTCACCATTTCTCAACTGTGGCCACCACTTCTCAGCTCTTCGCGGCTCTTCTCAGGCCATCTTCTTCTCACAACTCTTCTCAACTGCTCTCAAGTTTTTCCATCTCTTCTCACCTCAACTCTTCTCGCCTGTTCCCACCTCACCTCTGCCCACCTCTTCTCACCTCTTGCCACCTCTTCTCAACTCCTCCGATTTCTTCTCGCCTCGTGTCAACTCTGCTCCTCCTCCCACCTCTTTTCAACCTTTTCTCAACTCTCCTCAATTCTTCTCAACTTTTCCAACTCTCTCGACGTCAACTTTCTTTTTTTAATTTGTCGTCACCTTATTTTCACTCCTTTTCAACTGTGATCAACACTTCTCATCTCGTCTCCATTCTTGTCACCTCTTCCCACCTCCGACTTGTTGAATTCTGCTCAACTCACCCCCGCCCCTTCTCAGGTCTTCTCCACTCTCCTCAAATGTTCAACCGTTCTCAAACCCTTTCTTTTGGGAACAAATTCACAAAAAGCTTCTCGTCCTTGTCACTTTGCCTCGGTTTTACACACGGCAAGCTTTTACACAGAGAAGCTTTAGCACAGAAAAACTTTTAATTACACACAGAAGCTTTTGCGCACAGAACTTTTTACACAGAGAAGCTTTTAGAAGGTTTTACACACACAGAAGCTTTTACAAAGAGATACAAAGAGAAGCTTTTGCACAGAGAAACTTTTACACAGAGAAGCTTTTACACAGAGAAGCTTTGCACGGAAAAGCCTTTACACAGACAAACTCTTACACAGAGAAACTTTTACACAGAGAAGCTTTTACACAAAGAACCATTTCAACAGAGAAGCTTTTACACAGAGAGGCTTCACACAGAATTTTTTTGCACAGAGAAGCTTTACACGGAGAAGTTTTTGCACAGAGAAGCTTTTACACAGAGAAGTTTCTGCACACCGCAAGCTTTTACACAAGGAAGTTTTCACGCACGGAAGCTTTTTCACAGAGCAAGCTTTTACACAGAGAAGCTTTTACACACAGAAGCAAGCTTTTACACAGAGCAAGCTTTTACACAAAGAAGCTTTTATACAGAGAAGCTTTTGCACACAGCAAGCTTTTACACAGAAAAGCTTTTACACAGGGAAGCTTTTACACAGAGATTTGTCTACACATAGAAGCCTTTACACAGAGAAGCTTTTACACAGAGAAACTTTCACAAATTGCAGCAGAAATTGCCAGCTCCAAGACCGGGTCTCGGTGCCAAAAGGAAAAAACTGCGATTTTGAATCACTTTTTGAAAGGAAATTTAAAGGGAAAACAATCCACGGCAAAATGAAAAAAAAAAACGCTAGAAAATCACCATTGCAACCTTAATGATTTACAACGCTCAGCTACAAAAGACAATAGTATTACGCACGCAGCCGCAGCAAGAAACATTGATGATTAATGCAGCACTCCATTGCAATCTGCAGGGACTGAGTTGCAAAACACAAAGCACTGCAGCAGCAGCAGCAGCAACAACAACAACAACAGGCAAAAAGCCACCACCTCTGCACCGGAACGTCCCTTTACCCAAAAAGAAACAATTGTTTGGCGCAAATCCGAACATTCAAATCTCATCGATGTAGCAGTTCCACTGCCATCTACCAACGTTGAGTTGCTCAAGAACAAGTCGCCGTCATGCAGCAGTTCCAATTCACAAGTTACCTCAACAGCTTCAGACTAGCACAGCGTCGAAGCAGTCGAAGCAGAAACAACAAAGTCACCTGTTTTGACGCCTGAGAATCGCAGCACATGGATCAAGAACAACTAGCCTTCATCACCTCTACCTCAACCTCCACCTCTACTCTGCTTAAGACTTCTCCGTCCAAAACATGCTACTTCTCTCCTTCAGGAAGATGCCAGGTCAGGAACATGCCGAATCGACTTAATGACTTTTTGGGCAATGTTTAATGTTCACTTTCTCCGTAACTCGGAGTTTCTCTACAAAACTTCTTTTGATAATCATATTTAAATATATTTGAAAGCTATGTTGGTGTTTCTTGTAAAAAGGGCTAAAAAGGGCCCTTAGAGATTTGATCCTGAGCCTCCATGCAGACAGTGTCTTGACAATCTTTTCTTGCCAGGACTGATATGAGGCAGGGTACTAGAAGGTGGAAACTCAAACGGAAGCACCCCATTTTTTGGTGCTTTTTATAGCCAGCTCTACGTTGAGCTTGGGATACTCCAAGTTGGTTTTCAGAAATTTCAGTAACGGCCAAGTGTCAGAAACGGAACTGCTCGGGCTGCTCTTGGAGCCCATCAATTCCTCTGGAGTCGAATTGGTTCTTGCGCTGACGGTGCTGCCACTGGGGCCTGGTGTTCCGCCAACCACGCCACAGCTTTGGGACCCCATGCTGACCTGGCGCAAAAAACTCGTAAAGAGGTGGAGAGGTGGGCAAAAGGTGAAGAGGCAGGGTGTATAATATGTATATAATGTGTATATATAAACTGTATTTATGTAAACAGTATAAATATGTATAAATATGTATAAATGAAATACGCGTACGAATTGTATGTGTATATATAAACGCCTTGCACATTCTACTAAAATCCTTGCTGGCCTCTAGCAGGGCCTTCAAGAAATCATGCACTTTGCAAGCAGTATCAAGTATCAAGCAGTAATGGCAGAACTGAAACTGCAACAAGGCTCCAAAGGGCCGCATCGTTGTTGCTTTCCGGCTCAAAATGGGTCAGAAACCACAACCAAAACATACCAAAACAAGGTCTGTGGGAAACTGCGAATCTTTTTGATAAGGCATTCCGTTTTCGTTTTGAAAGGTTTGGTTTTTAGCCGAAATCAATGGCCTGTCATCTGCGGCCTTTCAGAAATTGTTCTTTCACCAGGAGAGTGAGGATTCCTTGCAACAAAGATTGTTTTTGCAACAAACCATTGTTTTGGGTTTTGCGGGCCCTAGGCAAGTCTGAAAGTTTGTCGTTGGATACCTAGCGTAACCTCGACAATCCCCTGCGGGTGGGGCTTTGTCAGATCACTGTGGCCCCAGTTCGACTTGTAAAATTTAGGCTCGGCGAAAAAAAATGACGTCCCCGAGATTTTTGCCACCCAGACTCTGCCGCAATCTTCACCCAATTTGTGGTTTGTTTTGCTGGAAAACTCCCCAAAAAAGTACAGGTTCAGGTCTATTTCAGCATACTTATCATACTTTTCAGGCGGTGCTTTTTTCGCTTGGAAAGCCGCAAAAGAAGGGAAATCGGAAATCGTTTCAAACCTCTGTTCCATGGCTACATCCTTATCCATGGCTACTTCGGCATCGTTTCCCCCGGATTTCCCCACGGCACTCGCGGGCTGGGGATGGGCTTCAGAGAGCTCAATGCAGGGTCTGCTGGTTCTGGATCAGCAAATTCTTTGGATTCCTGGGAGGCTCCAGCAAGCACCACATACCCTCCAGTAAATTAACATAGACCCTGAAAATCACCCATTTTTAATGGAAACTAGTCTTCCAACCCTATCTGCCAGGGTCTATGTTAATTTAACAGAGGGTAAATTCTTTTTCTGGGTGTCCATCACTGGATTGACAGGTTTCCCCATGACACCTAAATGTGTTAACGGGCTTCCGATTGAGAAATTCTGAGATTCCGAGACCGAAGGACCGTATGCTTTGGCCCAAACATTAGCCGCTACGGAGAATCATTATATTCAAATGTGGGTGTCACCATTCTTGGGAATGCATGATTGGAATATATTGTAATCTCCCGTGGTGAACATGGAATACTGGGTAGTAGCTGTCTACAATAATGAAGCCTACCAGTCCTCTCCCAAAAACATCCAAAAAATGCGGCTGCATCCACCATAACACCATAACATCCAGGGGGATTTTCATGGATTTTCATGGATTTTCCGGAGACCCCGCGTTGTGGTGTTATCAAATATGGCTGTTGAACAATGGGAAATCATTGAAAATCATCTGTAACTTGTGGATATAACGGGATAATTTGGGATAACATGTTCCTACAATCAAAGATCGCAATTGAAAATCCCCGAACTCAATGGATGTGTGTTTTGCTGGGAGAAAAACATCGAACAATGGCTGGAAGATTTTCCAGCATGCCATGTTTGATGACCGGAAGGTATACAGCTGCGAATCAAAAGATCAAAAATGAAAACTCAAAATGGTTTTCCTCCAACATCCCCGCTCAGTCTGAAGTTCTCCACCCCTTTAACAACTTCTTCGATCTCTTTGAAAAGAGCTGGAAATTCGCAGTTCCTACCCACCAGACCTGTGGGCCCCCGAGCGGCTCGCGGGGAGTGGCCGAACAACGAGGAGGGTCGGCCCAAATAGCTCTGAATGACCTCCTTTCAGACAGAAAATTTGCGAAGACAGATTAGCCCATGATATACCCTCCAGGAATTTAACCCACAGGACGAAGGGTTCGCCCTGCATCCCAGTGCCAGTGGCTTTCCATGAAAGGGAAGATTCCGACCTTTTAGGATTAAAATCTCCCACCCGCGTCAAACAATTACACTCCAGACCCGCCACAAAAGTGAAAAATAGGGAAAAGGGCGACATGAAGTCCGCAGAGGGTTCACTTTTCGACTGATTTTCCTAAAAATGCGTCTTCGGACATACAAACGCACAAATATACCAAGGTGATAAAACACTGTGCCTGCGCAGTGAAATGAGCCTCCTTAGGACATTAACCAATCCGTTCCGGGCAAACCCTCAGTCCTGTCGGTCATGTAACATAGCTATGTAAAATGGCCCGTCTATGTGATTTATAGATGATTTCTCTGTTATAATCGGGATTTTTTCTAAGAGTAGTTTATTGCTATGTATCACGATCGATCGATCTATCCAGCTACCTAGCGAGCTTGTTATCTGTTGCAGGCTGCTATATGTATATTGTGCATGTTTTCGACTGAAAAACAATGGATAAATTCGGATGTATAGGTGGAGCCTAGACCACCCCAGGTACATGTCACTTCAACCTCGTATTCAATCATCCATGGTCCTTTTGCTTCAGTGACTAGCAATGCAACCGGCATTAATCTCTATGCAAGGGTTCATCTCCATAGTCCTGCAACTTCAACTCGGTCCACAATTTGACTGCAGGCAGGAGCTCAACATTCAGCTTGTTTCACCACTTCAGAAAGACTTTGGAAGACTTTGGTGAATCTCTCCCAATCTTTTGGGGAATCTCCCTGATCCCTCCGGTCCCAGCCAGCAAGCTGCGTCCTCCTTGAACTTCTGCATCTCCTGAAACCCCGCCGCAGCGTAGGAAGCTTCAGCCTCGAAGGTAAAGCATTTACCCTTTGGTTATGACTAACATAGCCATGGAAAATGGTCCATTTATAGATGGTTTACCTATTAAAAATGGTGATTCTCCATAGCTATGTTAAATAACCAGATGGTATAGATGACTTTCCGCACATGTGTGCGTTCAATTGCCAGCTGGGGAGTTTCCAAGGGTATCAAAGGAGATCATGCAGCAAAGATGGAGGCTCACTCCCTGCCTCTTTGTTGCAGGCCTTCAAAATCTCTGAAAAAGTCTGAAGCAGAGAGCAGAACCTGGGAGATAGACCATGGGAAGCCCAACTGCAGGGATGCTGGCGGCCACATCCTCATCTTGATTTTCTATATCTTCACCAGAAAAGACGCGATTCTCTACAGCTCGCGAAGCTTTTTTGGGTATCATCGCAAATCAAACAAGATGGGTGTGTCTGAAAATGGATTGGAATCTATCCCCAATGACAATTTCTCATACGAGGAAAGATATGGAAGCTGAGGTTTTCAACCAGTGGCTTTGCGCTTGTCCCAGCATTTTCAGAGACACAAATCAGTTTCCCACTTTGCTTCCCAAAATTTGCCATCTCCCAACATGTTTCCACCTCGATGTTTTTGAAAAAAAACGCGAGAGCCAACGGCCTGTCCGTACATCGCCAAGGTTCTGGTCCATCATGTTCGTTTGGACCGTGCACTCCTACAATGAATCACTGCTTGCTAAGGATTGGGGATTCCACGGATATATGGCTGGTGCCATATGGCAGTGTGTCAAAACCTTGTACCCCTGGTGAACATCAAAATAGCTGGTAAATGGATGTTCATCCCACTAAAAAGGGTATGTTTAGGTATTGACCCATACCCATATAATCCACCATCCCTCTTTGAGGCCAACCAAGGTGGACGTCGCTGAAAGGTCAACACCCCCAACCCAGCCAATAAGGCCTTATGACGGGGTTCCTTAACCCATTAACCCATTCATGAATGCCAACAAGAGCTTCGGAATATTTTGGCAATGTGTGAGTGGCGAGAGTCATCGGTTCCTGGGTCCCATGAAAAAAACTGGGTCTCGGTTACAGGAACCACTTACCAACCATTTCCTAGGTCCTAAGTGGGGTGAACCGAAGAATCGCCGTTGAATCCCGTTCGATTCCCTCAAAGTCCAATAGCTTCCACCAAGGGCGTATCACTGGTACCGCGGGGGCTTGTCCAAGCATCTGGGATACGGCCAGTTTTCTCAGGAATATGAAGATCCCCAATACATTAGTACATTGACCAGTATAACTCAGTATATCCCCAAAGTCATCACCCACCATCACGGTGAAATTCCCATGAAATTCCATTAAACTGGGATTTGAAACTGAAACTGCTGAGTTCTCCTCAAAGTTGAACTGCATGCGGAAGACGCTCTTTGAGTTCTGTACGGTGATGGTCGCAATCAGTGGGTCTTCCATGGTGCCAGCCCTACTACTCCCTCCGTCTGTACCGAAAAAAAACTGCGGAGTCCAAGCACAGAAGGCATGCGCTCGAATTGACATTCCCCTACGAAGTTCTGGGCTTCTCCAATGTTATGGCTAAGGATTCAGAAACCCTGGTTGAACTGGTGTCATTGTCAGGACTGGTGGGTAACCCCCTTCATCAGTCAGCTACTTGGAGGATCACCCCAGAAAAATCGACAAACTCACTGCGCTTCCTGGGTTATTTTCTTGTCGCAAAACGGGCATTTTTAGGGCTAGAAACGCCCTTCTGAAAATCGAAAATCAGTAGCTCTTGGAAATCGAGCCAGTAAACCCCACCTGCGTGTCCAATTTTGAATGACCAGTTCGTTGAAGGCCTTGTGGCTGATCCAGACCTGTGCCGGCCCTGAGAAAATTGGGTGAACTGACCAGAAGTTGCCCAGGGGAATTTCCGAAAGCGCGAAAGATTTTACTAAAGTCTACCGGAGGAACCCCTGCTTCTTACTTGGAAGTGCAGCAGTTCCAGTGATAAGTGGAGATATAACCATAGTTATAGGGGTTATATATATCTCAAGTGTAGGGCGTTACAATCATTATAGCCATAAAAGTGACCTCAACTGCATCCCCAAGTACCCATGGAATGTGGCTTCTCCCGGCAAGCAATTCCCCTGACGTTGTTGAAGGCTGTCCTGCTTCATCTCAAAGTTTCTGATCACGACGTACATCATGGTGATATTCTCCACAAAGCCTGCGAATTCAAGGAAGGTGCGACCAGGTGAAGAAACTGGGATACTTTACCAATGATCTACAGATATCATCAGATATCTACGCCGTAGGTGGATTTACCGAGTCCTGGAATTCACTGATTGCTTGTTAGTACAGAGCACGCAGTGTCCGGCTCTTTTGGGTCAGGCTCAAACCACCGGCAACGGCAAAATAGCAATGGCATGCCATGGCCCAACCTAAACACCCTGCAAGAGTGGCAACGTGTTTCTTTAGAAAGGGGTCAGCAGTTTGGAGCTCCAAAAGAATCCAACTGCAGACCGAGAATTTCAATTGGATCGTATTGGATCACAGAGACAACCATTGGTGACCATGGAGTGCTCAACAACTTCCAGAAATACCAAAGCGCCATCGGGAGCTCAGGTTTCATCATCCCCCAGCCTACCACGGCTTCGGTCATGGCCATGTCCCCCGTTTTGTTCAGGGTGACCAAATCACCAACGTAGAACGGCCTGGGGACAAGGCGGGACCCTTCTCCATACCCTAAACCAAGCCCTGGTGGGGCCAAGCCAGCACTATGTAGAAACTGCGAGGGTCCTCATGTCCCAGAAAACTATGAACCGGGTGACAAGCAGTCGGAATGCCAGGTACAAGGAAACCCCTGGCTTTCCAGTGGCAACTCACCATCACAGACCCTACTGGTTCATCCAAGGAGCTTGTACAACGACAGCCGCAACAAGCTAATCGTGCTGGGGCCCAACTCCAACATGAAGCCGCCCGAAGCAGCGCCCGAAATCAACAAGCCTCAATCTTTCACAACGGAAATAGATGGAAATAGTGGAAATACACCGAGGCGGAACGGAGAACTGCTACTCTCCAGTCGTCTAGAAGGAGGCAATGAACAAGCCACTATTGTTATCATGTGTTGTCCATGTTCAGATATGCAAGTTTCCCCAAATGGGGGTACTCCCAAATCATCCAGTTTAATCGGATTTTCCATTTACAAACCATCCATTTTGGCGACGCCCATTTTAAGACACCCCCAGATGTGGCGCAGAAACTTCCCAGGAGAAAACGGTTGATGGTCTCGGACTCAACCTGCGCGAAGAAAGCCTGGGACTCGGGATGAGGCCAAGAGGGCAACGCAAACAATAATCCATTCATTAGTTTAGCGTAATCACCAAAACAATTGATTAGAAATTAGTGTAATTCTAGAATGATTTGGTGATTACACTAAATTCTAAAATCATTGTTTTGATATTCACGTCTTAGTGCTGCCCTTAGAAGAATTCTCATTATCAGGGCTCCTTTCAATATGTTGTCTTGATTGTGCAAAAAATGTTGTTGTGAGGTCGATGCTTCCAAAATCCCACATTTTGCTGCCATTTCGAATCTCCATTGGCCGGGTGTGTTCTGACTTTACTGAGTGACATCATGACATCACAGTGAGGTGACCGTTATATTAGTATCATATCTATATACATACGTAGTGTGCAGTATCCCTTCATTCATTAATATAGTTCTATAACAATTACAATAAAAACGAGCATCATTACAATGATAATTAGCCTCATGGTAGTGATAATGCTAGTGATAGTGATGATCATCACAACATTTAAGAAATACTGATTCCCTGTAATCCAACACAAATCTACGGAAAATCGCAATGTTCGATGACCCAAGGCTAGGAGACACGACATCCAAGACATCCAAGACACCAACACGACCAGCGCGCCGAGGATCTTACCTCACGCGTGATATGATGGCTGTGTATTCTTGGCTTTATCAGCTACATCAATGTTTACATTGGGTTTGCAATGGGTCTACAGTTGATGTAGAATGTATTGTAAGGGTTTGGAATGGATCATGGATTAGAAACTACTTAGCTTAACTCCAGCTGCAACATGCTGCAACTGGAGAATTGGGTACCTTGAATAAAGTGATATATGATTGTAATGGAAAAAAAAAAAACTGTTTCTTTAGATTTTGTCCAATTGATAAGTTTAATCCTACGGCCCGAAAACCGGTCCAGCGTTTTTGCGTTTTTTGCGTTGTGATATGTTGGGGGGCGGGGGCTGGGGTGGAGGGGGTGTAATAATGTCCTGTGTCTACGTTATCATCGATTTTCTTCGGTGAACACACTTCATGTCACGTTGTACACGTATGTTTTCATTCGGTGAACACACTTCATGTCACGTTGTACACGTATGTTGTAATTCGGTGAACACACGTCATGTTACGTTGCACACTTCCGTTGCACTTCGTCGCACGCACATGATCTTACGCTACAGATGTGTTCTGTTTGTATTTGTTTTCACGCGCGTAGATAATGTGTTCGGGCCGTAGGCAAAGATGATTATATAACTATATTTCAAGATATGTTTGATATGTTTTGGGAAAGGTAACAGGGATATATGTTACGCTATGTGTGTGTGTGTGATATCACTGCAAAGACGGTCCGCAAATTGAAGTGATGGAACAGAATCGCTGGCGTTGTGGCGAAACGCAAAACCAGCCAAAAAAGAAACCTTTTTTTGAGGGTGTTCAACATGCATTTTTGAAATCCCACTGCGATAAAACAAGGATCCCAATGGAAATGAAGTGCCAAAAGACACCACCATGATATAAACATGTGGCAAACGCCAAGTTTTCAACAAGACGAAAATCACAATAAACATGAAAATTGATGAAAACGCTGGGCCGATTTCCGGGCCGTTCGGAAGTTTAAGCTGTCCACTTGTTGGATTTTCTCATTGCTGCACCCAACGCACCTCGCCTATCAAGTAGTAGATGGACCAAATGTAGTGCAGCACCTCGTTGAAGTCGTTGAGTCGGGCAGGAACGATAGAAAAAACATCAGCGATAGAAACAGGAAAAGATATACACAGGATCACCCACAAAAAAATAGCTGTAGAACTGATGAAACTTCCAAACATTGGGAGTTGAATTGAAGTGAAGACATCAGACCCCAAAGCTTTGGTTCTTTTATTTCTAAACCTCTTGCATCCCACCCAACCATGTGGGGTCCCAGAGTGCGCAAAGTTGGTTTATAATCCAATCGAAACTAGACTATACCACAATTCCATCCAATATACTTCGGCTCAGTTGCAACTTGGTCCATGTTCAACCCGAAAGCAATCGGATATGATGGGATTTAAAACTCGAACTTCCTCTTCATCTTAAGCATTCCCCAAAGATTTCCAACATTTTCCGGTGCCAGCTATCTGACCCCCGTCCCCTGCCGATTTGCACCTTGGCCGGCACCGTGTGCGTGTGCGAAAAACTGTAGACAATGTCGCGCTGTGTGTCGCCGCTCCGGGAGATGTTGTGCACCTGGAAAGAACAAATGCCGTGGACTCGTGGACTTCGCTTTTCTGTATGTCTTACATCTTTTAAGTTTTACGAAATCCTTACAGTATGTATTTTTCATGAAAATAGGGGCTTCACTTTTTTGTTCGGATCTTTGGGTGACCCCAGTTGCTCCACGAGTTGCTCCACGTTTATCCTGGGCGCGATGTTCTGCATCTTCTCCACCGGTTTGGAATGATTAATGATCTCCTGGCCCCAAGGAGCCAATGTCGATCTCCCATCGTGATTGAATCCCCATGATTTGAAAAAAAGGGAATCTACGACCCAAAACTGGAGATTACCAATTATATGTCAGTACATTATATATTGTTATTATATATATATATATTATATTATATTATATATTATTATTATTGTTGTTATTATTATTATCATTGTTATTATTACTATTATTACTATTATCATTGTCATTATTATTATTATATATATATTATTTTATATATTAAATATATACTATTATATATATTATTATATATTTATTATCATATATGCTATTATATATGTTATTGTATATATATATATATTATTATGTATATATATATTATTATTATTATATATATATTATTATATATTATTATATATTATTATATATATTATTATATATATTATTATATATATTATTATATATATTATTATATATATTATTATATATATTATTATATATGTTATTATATATATTATTATATATATTATTATATATGTTATTATATATAATTTTATATCCTATCATTACTTTTATTTATATATATATATATTATTATATATATGTATTATTATTATAATATATATATATATATATATTATTTTATATATTATACATATATACTATTATATATATATTACTATATATATTATATATGTTATTATATATATTATTATATATATTATTATATATATTATTATATATATTATTATTATATATTATTATATATAGGTATATATAATTATATATTCTATCATTACTTATATATATATTATTACATATACTTATATATATATTATTACATATATGTATTATTATTATTATATATATTATTATGTATATAGATATATGTATTATATTATATATATATATATGTATTATTATATTATATATATACGTATTATTATATTATATATATATATTATTATATATACATGTATTATTATATATATATGTATATAGTATTATTATATATATGTCGTATTATTTTATATATATATTATTCTTATTATTATCATTATTATTATTATTTATTTATATATATATGTGATTGTAAAGTCCCTGAGTACAGCTAGGTATATTACCGTAATGGCTATGGAAAATCACTGGATGAAATACAATGAGTGAACATACTAGGCAAAAAAATGGTTAGACAATAGCTGGATATAACATGATATAACAACATGAATGTTGCCACGCATGATTTACACGGTGTGCTGCTAACCATCATCCCCTTGGGGGTTGGGAACACTGGTTCACACTGGTTCTCTGAAATTTGGATGTCTCAGATGTCCCCCATTACCCCAACGGGTGTCAAAGCGCTCCTGATCCGTAATCATAGAGTGCAGAACATCATTGATCCTGGCTCTCACCATGGCCAGGCGAAGTCGTTTCCCGTCCCCGCCCCAGCGCTGGAAGGCGCCTATCTAACATGTTGAAGTAGAAGATGGCACAGATCATGACCATCAAGCCAGTAAAGCCTTGGCCAAAGGCAAGTTGAGAAGCGGCTCTGCAATCAGAACAGATCTGTGTTGCAGTTGGTGAGAGGGCCACACCAACCCGCATCACTCATCAACCCAGGCCCCTTAGCCTGATGTTTTTTGGTGTCAAGCCTCAAACATCCACAGACCATTCCATTCCAGTGCCAGAGAAACAAAAGTGAACTTGCTGGGCAACATTGTCCTGGAGCCATCCCGACGGCTAGGGCCCCAAAGCAGTTCTCTAGGGGATTCACGGATGTTCAAAACATTGAATTTCTGATCATTTCTACAAAGTGGTGAATAACTCTGAATAACTGGATAATCACCTTTGAGTGCAAAAAAAGATCAGACACCAACTACCAGGGCGCAGGCTTGGTGGCTTGGTGGTCGCTGAAGCATTTATCGGGCGGTCCTCCAAAATGATGCAACAAGCGTTGCGAATCAGAAAAAGAGCGGCCAACAACATGAGACCTTGGTGACCGGCGGATACACACCATAGCCATATGGGCCACACCCATATGTCAATGGTTCGTGTCAATGAATTTTGTCACATAAAGTCTTGAAATATAATATATATATATACATGTGTATAAAACACATATATATATATATATGGATATATAATATAATATAGATATATTATAATGCCATTTATTTGGATGATCTGGTATAGAAAGTGCGCAGTGGTGAATCATTCCAGGCCCAAACGTCCAGACGCCCCAAATTTTCGTCGCAGCTTCGCCAAGCATCCAATGGAGATGGGATCGATCCACCTCGTGACACTTTGCTGGAAAAATCGGTCTTCTGTCCTCTTCTCCCAGAAGAACACAGTCCTACCGCACAATCGATTCAACTGGGACTTGATGAGAGTTGGAAGCTTGTTTGCAAAACTGCTTGATCCAGCCCTCAACGTCCACTTCGAAAAGACTCAGTCTGCTGAGACAAAGCTGGAAGCTCTCTGTGGCTGAACTACAAACATTCGTCCTGTCCCTTTGCAGATGCTGCCTACATTCCGTTTCTGAACTGATCCTGCTATCTCCTAGATCAACCAAATCATACTTCGTTGATGCCATTCAACATCATCTCACCATCATTTAACCATTTCCTAGATCATTCAGGTCGCAGATTGCTGATTTCTCCCCGTTCTTCAACTATCTCACCTCTTCCATGCCTCAGTTTCCATCGTTTCCATCGTTTTTAGCCCCCTGCGCCTACGCAAATGTTGTACAAAGTAATTCACTGCGGTGCAGGCCACCGGCACACAGGCGCAGCGGATCAAGGCCTAGCAGAAACGACAGATTGGCCCCTGCCCCGACCATGACCCGACCATGACCCGACCATGACCCGCGACCTCAGTCCGAGAATTGATGTCCGTCTTGAAAATTGTTTCCTCAGTCTGCGCTGCCTATTCAGGCATGCTTCAACTGGTTGAATTTAAATGATGGTTGCACCATGCCAAACCCTGCGGAAGACATTGCATGGCAAACCCTGGGCCAGAATCGGAACACGTTTTCGCCCAGAGGCCAGGTTACTCAACATGAGTAGCTTATTGCACCATGGCCAGAGCCAGAACACACAGACCTTCATCTGGCATTCACTCCGGAGACCCATCCGCACCAGACAGCGCGTTACTCCAAGCGTCATGCATGGCGTAGGCGCGATTGAAATTGAGCAAAACCAGCACTGGCAGACTCACCGCCTGACGGCACCCCTCGGGATCACCGATCCCATCATGTCCCCCTGGTTATGTCACGACGTAACCACGACGTAACGCCGAGCAACGGCTCCGAGCCACATGCACACGTCGCTGGGAGAAGAACACACATCCTGGTGGAGCTGTGGGTCTTCGCTGATCGTTCCGAATCGTTTTGGGGGGGTGCCTGGGATGTTTTTTTTTTTTGAAGGGATTTTCACAGTGGGATAATAATAAGTTTAATATAATAAGAAAGGGGGATAATATATGAAGAATATAATATAATATTATAATTAACGTGTTTTCACAGTGCGTTAATATAATAAGAAATGACTGCACTGTGAAAGTTCAGTGCTGTTTCGGGGTGACTTTGTGTTGTCACGCTGGTGCTGTTTGGTTTCTTGCAGCTCGTCAGGGCTCCAAAATGAAGTAATGACAATTACATGGTACCGAAGGGTTCCAAGTTCCAAAGCGGTCAAGAGTTCAGTCATGCAACCAAGAATGGTTGATAAACACGGCATGGTTTTCTAACAAAGACTGGATACCACAACCAATGGTGGATGTACATTCAAAGACAATTTGGATACAACCGACCGCTTGACAGCTTCGGGGAAACAAGAGCAGTGGCAGACAGGAGGCAGATTAAATTTCCGCCATTGTTACCTTGACCAAATGATGAAAAATCATGAGATTCCCCCTAGAATCCCCCTGCCTTAGGATCCTTAGGGATATTGGGGACCATTTTCTGGGCCACCAGATCCATCCTTGAATCGCACGCTGCCAGTGCGTGCAAACTTGGTGATCCGCGGCATGGCGCCACCCAGACCTGAAGATTTTTTCCAGAGTTGAGATAGAATCTGATAACTGATAACCCTATGTTCTTTGCCCACCTTTTTTTTGAGGTGAGAATGATTTTGAAGTCTTTTTTGGAGTTTTCTTGATCCAATTTTGGGGGAGACCAAAGGTCTTGAGCAACTCCAGTCTCTGAAGTGTTCGCGGATCTATGCTTAGCAACTGACTTGACCCAAACAGTTCATCTGAATTCGCCTTTGCTTGTTCAACCATTGGCTACAATCAATTTTCTGAATTAGCCATCCCAGTGTCTGACTACAACCCATACTTTACTGGTTCAATCTACATACTCAATGTACTTTGTTTGTTTTCAGCATGTGCAGCATGTGCTGTTTCTTCGTTCTGTTACACAACTCGTCCAACTTTGGGTAACATTTTAATATTGTTGTTGAAATCTCCAAGCTGAAAAAAATCCATATTTGACGATCAAAAACTCATTATTGACGCTTTCAAACCCTGTCTTTGATAGTTACAAAAAAAAAAAACATGATTTCAGGAGTTGGTTGGATGATGTTGGATGCAAAATCTGCAGGAAAGCTCTACATTTGGGTCTCAAACAAAAAAGGGTTGAAACCCAGATCTTTCCGAGCCGTCGGAGCCGAAAAAAGACGAGGAACCAACCCCCAAGGCGTGCACGCCATTGTCCTCAGGAGAGGGTCATTGACATTAGTCCCTTTCAACCTGAAAGGGGGAAAAACAGAACTAGAAACCTAGAAGCCCTGTTACATCGGAATTTCTTGTCGTGGTGTCTTGTTTGAGGGATGAGTACTTTTTGGCAGAAAGGACTAGTGTCAATGTTTCAGAAGACCATGAGCCTTACCTCCAAATATAAGGGTGGTTGCTTAATTTATTGCACTAAACCAGCCACTGTGGGTGCCTCACCCGCCAATGATACAGGGTTCTTCCTTAGATTTTTTATGAGCATCACCAAAATTTTGGGGGACAACCGTTAGCCCCCACAATATTGATCATGTTTCCCTACCGCAAGATTCGGAAATACAGAGATCTCAGTCATAGGAATACAGGTTCAGAGGTGTCAAAAAAGATGAACATATTCATCACCATCAAAGATAATTGTGATTAAGATTGCCATGTTCTTTCTGGTTTTCAATAGAACTACCACCAAAGATCAATAATGCAACTGCTTGGAATGGGGGAAATGTCACCAAACACCGCCATTCTAGTAGCTTGATCTCCCCAGCTTTTGCTTGGTGAATTTCCCGGTTCCCAGTTTTATTAGTTGGTTTTTCATACCCCTGGCCTTGCGGGGTAAATCCCTGGCTCCAACCCCCGTTTTCAGTGGATAGCCCCTCTTTATAGATGATTCTGTGGCTGAAAATAGTAATCTTTCAGCTAGCCATGTTTGCCTGAGGGTAAACAACAAAACAAGAGCTGGAAAGTTCCAAAAAGTTCAACCCCAACTGCGGCCGATCCCCAGGTTTGCTTAATAGAAGCACACCCTTCTTTTCGGTGCCCTCTGGGGTTCAGCTCATACGTGGCTGGCTTGCAAAACCCCATTTGTGTGCAAGAAATCAGCGGTAAAAATGGACTACAGATGGGAAAAAGTGCTGTACGGTTGATACAAATATGTGTTGCTGGTGTAAAACCCCTACTTTTCTGGGATCTACGCAAAAAGCTGGCTATCACCAGCAACAGTGATCTAAAAAGCTTAAATACCTAAGTATTGTTGTTAAACTGCAAATGTAGTTATTATATACTTCATCCAGTTTACAGATATGTCAAAAGACTACTAATTAGAAACACAACAAAAAATGGCTGTCACCAGCTATACTATAGATGGATATGTCATTCAGAAAACTCATGGGTTAAACTTCCCGAACTCTTCATTTTGTTCCAAGATTCTATGGACGACCTCAAGCGTTTGAGCTTCCAACTCGGGCTGCTGTCGTTCTGAGCGACCCAGCGGAGGGCCCTTTGGACTGGACTGGTTTGTTTGATGTTTTTTGGAATAAAACCATGAAAGATACCATAGTTAAATTAGGTATTGTTAGGTTATATTGGAGAAAATAAATCGTGTGTATATTGGATAAATTACTTTGATGTAAATAAAAATTGGGGATCGTCGTTGTCAAAAGAAAAGGACCAAATTCGGGATTTTTCAGCATCCACTTTGGATGTTCATGTTTCCATTTCGAGATGCCACCAGGAGCATCCTTGATATAGGCCATGGAGGGATGCAGCCAACATGATCCGTTGCGCAAAATCATTTTCTGGAAACCCACGGTCGAAAGTTTTCTTCAGGGCCTGCAAGTGGTAAGGCTCTTTGGATGAATGTTTCTTTATGATGACTGATGAAAAAGCCATAAATTATAGCCATAAATTTTGCTGGCAACCTATATACTGGGAAGCACTTCACCACCGGGATCATGACTCCTATGACTTAGATAACTATAGATCTTTGAAACATGTAACACCAAAAATTGATACATTTTGGGCTGATCACATGAGGTACATCATCATAAAATTGATATCCCAATTTCATTGACCACATCATGTGGTGCCCCAGGCGACCCTTGCCTCGCGTGATTGGCTTTCCACGGGGCTGGGCGGATCCAGCCTCATCTCTCCAGCTGATACAGTCTTGAGACTTGGGAAAACCCATGGATTCTGGTCATTTGAAGTCTGAAACTCACCCTGCACCAGCATCATCACAATCACCATCCACATCTTCACCATCCTCAGCAGAGTCACGATGCTTCCAAGTTACAGGGGTTCTCCATTCCGCAGGGGGCAACAACAACAACACCAGCGTCTGCTGGCAGTGCTGACCCTGCAAGCCATGGAGGTTTGTTCTTCGCTGCGAAAAAAAATCCATCGCAGCCCAGCCGTTTGGATGATTTCCCAGCCGTTGGATGACACCAGCCATGGGTATCTCCCCCTTTTTTCTCATTTCCCCATAGTTAGATGGTTTTAACATGTTTTACCCTCTGGTAATTTAACATAACTATTGAAAATGGCCATAGAAATAGTGAATTTTCCCATGAAAAATGGTGGATCTTTCCATAGTTATGTTAAATTACCAGAGGGTAACCACAATTTTCACCATATTTTCACCATATTTTCACCATATTTTCACGGATAAATTTCTCCACGACGAAGCCCACGCCTCCGATAGAGTCTGCGCCGCTCCGCGGAGATCTCCGAAGACGTGAAGGAAAACATGGCGCCGAAAAGAGGATGATGCTGATGCGACCCTGGTGAATGTAAGTGGTAAAAAAAATCACTATTCAACCATGCTTACAACTGGATATGTATACATATGTATATATATATACTTTGCATATACCTCTATATATATATACACATATGCAATGTATACACATTATATTATATATATATATATTACTATCTCCTCCAGATCTGACATGGAAAGGTTGTCTCTGAAAGCTCATTCGTTCAACGTCCATGGCTCCCAAAAATTGGCCCCACAGGGGCACAGCGATGCACGAGGACCAATGAGGGCGAAGGTGCAGAATTAAGGGGAAAAAAAACATAGAAGTCCTGCATTCTGACTTTCATCCCACTTCTGAGTTCATGCCATGCTGCCATTCCATGGATTTCTTGTACTAAAAGTTGCCAGCCAAACGCAGTTGCCACACTGGAGGTATACAGCTCACAGCGTGGCATTTCAGCGACTCGAAGCCTTTCAAAATTTCAAAACCAGACCCAAGGTCTTTCAAAATCATACAATGTGAGGCCCCCCAGTTATAAGTTGGTTTATAAACCCCAGTAACTATACGTAGTTATAAGTACCATAAACCATAGTTATTGAAGTTATAAACCAAGTTAGCTATCTTGGGGGCCTCACATTGTAGGTGAAGTCTTTCGGAATCATAGGTTTCAATAAACCCATAGGTTGACGGCATCCATATGCTGGGCTTCTTGCGAGGCATGGCGACCTGGCTCCAATGATAGCAAACCCGGGGGTAAATCAAGAGGTCAAATCACCAATGAACCCCAAAAAGTGGCGAAGCAACCCTGTTTTTATTCGGAAAATTATGAGAAACCACCGGGTTGCAGGGGTCATGTACCCTATTTTCAACGCAGGGATTGGCTCTGCTATCATGGACTGGACAGGGCAACCCTATCAAACTCCAATAAGGATATCAATGGAAGATGGTTGTGGATGTTGAGCTGTAGAGTCCAGTAATCCAATCGACTCCACCTATGGCATAATTGGCATTACTGTACCAAGCTCTTCCAGCCGACCTTGGTCAAGGAAGATTGCGTCGAGGCACGTGCTTCGTAGGGGTGTTTTGAGCCGTAGAAAGCTGCAGGACATGGAACCCACAGATTTAAGTCAAGAACAACTGGAAAAAAACACTGTTGTGATCCCTGCTGATCCCTGAGCAACATTGATCCTTAACACACCAAACGACCATAACCGGAACGGCGCACCATGTGAGCTTGGGACGAACCTGAGTGGCTGGGTCAGGTCTAAAAGATATGAGCCATTTAGGGCTTCCTTATGTTGGGTATATGTAAAGCCATATTCAGACTTGGGCTATGACCATCCAGGTTGGCTTGGTCCAAAATCCTCCACCAGTTACAGGAACCGCAAAGGATAACCATGACATGGCTAGCCTTTAATGATCCGCATGGAAGAAAATAGGGATGCGAGGGCTGGAAATGTATGGTTATGGCCAGTCATGGCTAGAAGCAAATGACACTCAAAATTGGAGGTTCTATGTTGTTTTTGGCAATTGCCCAATTACAAGACGCTACACAAACCACATCCAAATGGGAGGAAAATGAGTACCGGATGCTTTAACACGGCCCTATCTTCCCTACTTGAGTATGATAAAAGATTATGGAGACCTAAAAAAAACATTCATTTCGCTCCAAAAAGAGACAACCTCATTCTCGGGGCCTTGCGTCCAATTTTTTCGTTGCTGCTACAGGTTCAAACCATTCATTTCTCTGCTGGTACCCTATCCTTGACATAAAAACTGCATCCCTTGACTTCTGAGTTCCAGACGCGGGCTCCTTTCTGGGTCAGGGGGCCTGCCAGGGGCTACTCCCAGCACTGGATGGCTTTAAAAGACATCATCTTGGCTGCTGGGTATGTATACCATTGTATATCCCCACAAAATGACCCTATAAATCCTCCAAAAAAGAAACATTATACATATATATATAGTTTTAAATATATAAATATGTGTATATATATATACATACATGCATACATATCGATGCTGTTCCCATGTTTGCCCCTTGAAATGTTCAATTTGAATTTATCCCATAAAATGCTTATCACACCCACCTGTGTTGCTTAAATCATATCAATCCCACCGTATAAACCCCCTCAGGCTGGTGATATATCCCAGAATTGTCCCATTAAAAAAAAATGAAAATGATCTCCCAAGCAAAATGGGAGACAATATTGGGATTATAGGCTGTGTCTGTATATATATATATATATACATATGATATATACATATATATATACATATATGATATATATATATATATATGATATCCCCATAAAATATCCCTGTAGTTAGACGGTTTTGACCACACACCATGACCACCTGGTACCCACCTGTCTTGTTGCAACACTCCGGTGGAGCCGGCGCACAGGACTCGACAGCTGGACACGTGGTTCTCCTAGGGATTGAACTGTGAGAAATTGAAGATTTCACCATTCGGATTGGACAAAAAATGTGTGCTTTACAAAAATTCAGCTTTTCTTAGTTCTTTCACTTTGATCCCAAAATTCCTGGTTTGCGTAGTTGTAGAGGAACATCTTCAACGTCTTTGAAACAACTCCAGGTTCCACTTTCAGTTCCTTCCGCTTCCTTCACTTGGACGCCAGAAAACTAGCATTTCTATGGCCGGAAAATCATGCTTAAGGCAAAAGACTGGAAGATAGGCTAAGATGGGTATCCAATTACCCTCCGGTAAACTAACATAACTATGGAAAATCATCATTTTTTGTGGGTAATTCAACTATAAATGGCAACCTTCAATAGCTATGTTAGTTTACCAGAGGGTAAATCTCAAGAACTGTTGAAACGAGCTGACATGGTTTCCATTCCTCAGTTCGATGTGGGACGAAAAAAGCAACGATCCCGACTCTTTCAGGTCGGGTCAGCTGGGCCTAAGTGAACCATGAAAAACACCACTATCCCATGAAATACTGGTTGGTTAGTAAATATTCCTATGGGTTGGTTCATCCCCATTCAGCCAGGTATTTTTGGCATATCCCCTATTCGATAACCAATCGACAATGGTATTATCCAGTATTATCCATGATATAGATCATTACCATTAGAATGATTATAGATTATTATTATCATATATCTGAGATCTGGGTACATTATACTATTTCACTAATCTGAATTCAGGCCAATCATCTTAAGGCCATTTGGGGATGATTTCCCTTACCAGGATTCCAGGGAGAACGGTGAGGTCGTGAACTTACCCTGATAATCCCAGATGATAATCATCAACCTATCTGGGATCATAATATCCTTCAGATAGTCCCGTATACTGTATACCAGGTTCCTGTTAATCAGTAACCCCTATTTTCATCACTATAATTAATCATTCCATTAATCAGTAACGATTAGTCATTAATCACTATTTATCACTATTACTCATTCACTAATAATCACTATAATAGTGATATAATAACCCATATCAACCAATCAATTAGTGACTAATAACATAATCAATCATTGTTAATGGAAAAACTCACGATAAATCACCATTTTTAATAGCAAACTGTTAAATTACCAGAGGCTAATTCACTATAATTGATATATGTTCCTGTCATAACCCATGCCACGGCCACAACGGCCACAAGGGCCACAAGCTCCGAGCAGTCCGAGCTTCTGGAAGCTCCAGGCCCAAGAGCCGCAGGGCCAGCTCCTCCACATAAGCCTTCACACAGCGCCCGCAGAAGGGGGTTGGTTGGTGATTTCTGTCATTAGTAAATTCCCCTCAAAAAAAAAAGAAGGCTGCCCAATTTTAGATCAAACTTAAAGAAAATGGTTTTGTAAATATCCTGCGTCGACCACATCGTTTGCATGATTCTATTGTTTCCATGATTCGCCTGGTCTACAACTAGAGAAACATGAAAAACGCATCGTTGGGAAGCTTTGAACTACAAGACAATGCACAACCAGATGCGAACAAGTTTTCATTCCTTGGATTTCAGCCAGATCAACGCAGAGATTCGTTGATCAACCGACGGAATGTCTCAAAACCATGAACCATTCTAGCCACTACTGTGGATGGACAAAATACTGCACCATTTGATAGGTGGCTGATCCCATTACTTTCAGGGTTTAATAGTTGCAAACGGACGCAGCATTTCGTCCCTCCACAGTATTAGCCATGATGAACCATCAACAAGACAAACTATTGACCATTGGGAAAAAAAAAATGCTAACCATTGAAACCATTTTCAATCATCAACAATCATAACACTCGTTAGAAACCATCAACAAAGAAATACCCGAAAGATATCAACGAGTATAGCCACTAGTAACCGATTCTTAGCTATTAAAAACCGATGTTTTTCCCTGAAAAAAAAAAAGGATCTACGCCAAGGCCAGGCCGCTGGTTGTTGCAGGAGCAGTTGCGCGCGCGGTTGCCAAGTGCTGGAGGATGGGGCACTCTCCTGGCAACTTCATCATCATTGCCATCATTATCATAATAATAATAGTGATGATGATGATGATGATGATGGTGATGATAGAAATGGCACCGTAATAAGTATAATAGATATGGTAACCTAATAAGAATTCTATTGTGGAGAAGAATTTGATAATGGAAAAAGGAGAAGAAACATATAATAAGAATGAACATAGAATCTAGAATTACCATCATAATATTCATGATAGTAGTAGTAGTAGTAGTAGTGGTGGTAGTAGTAGTAGTAGCAGTAGTAGTAGTAGTAGTAGTAGGCGCTATCGTACTTGCTATCACATAGTATAGCAATAGTATCATCATCATCACCATCATCATAATGATAATAATAATCATCATCATCACCACCGTCAGCGGCATCATCATATAACAATATTGATAATAATAATAATCATCATCATCATCATCGTACTTACTAATAATAGTGACAAACATAGAATAGAGTACTTGTAATAAGTAATGGAAATGAGTAGTAGTCATAAAAAAGTAGTAATAAGTAATAGTGCTAAGTAATAGTAATAGGTAATAGTAATAAGTACGAGTAATAAGTCATAGTAATAAGTAATAATAATACTAACCGACACTATCATATAGCATCATCATGATAATAGACGTGACATAGTAAAAATAAAAGAAATAGTACTAGTAACAAGAAATATTAATGGTAATGCAATGATAACAATCACAATCATATTATATCAATATTAAGATGATAATGATAAGAATGATAGGGTCATATTGATAAGAATAATAATTACACTTTAAAAGATGCCAACAATCATCAAATTCATCCTGATCTTTATCCCAGGGTAATTTGTAGCATTCGCCATTGATACTAATCATCCTGCTGATGACGGGATCTCTAAACCCAAATTACTTCAGTGATCTCCTTGACAACAGGATCAATAAATGATGGTTCCATCTTTTTGGGGGTTACTACATACTGTACCCACAGTAGAACCCCCCCTCTGGCGCTCGAAACCTCTCGCCTCAAACTCAGTGATGTGACGTAGCAAGCGGTAGGGCAAGCGCATCATGTTCAGTGGAGCCTGGCAATGAGTCATGGCATCAAGCAGTGATCAAGCCACCAATGGCTGGCGATTTTGGGTGATTAATGTGGGATTCACCCAAGGCCATAATATATATATACAGTATATATACACATATATACGTATATATATATATATATATATACGTACAGTATATATATATACGTACAGTATATATATATGTACAGTATATATAAACCATCCCCAAGCCCAAGTCATCACCATTTGTATGTGCGATTGAAACCATCCATATGGTAGTTCTTTACGGCAGCCAGGCAGCCAGAGTTTCTCACATGATGATTTTTCCGGATCAACATCTTGCAAAATCCTCGGTAAATCCCAAAGAAATCCATGGAAAACATCATCGAATGTTGTAACAGAGGAGTCTTTCCCGCCATGAAATCATCCATATTCCCCATGAAATCTCCCCAATTTTGGGGCCCAGGATGGCCCCTCCTGGCCTGCAAGAGTTCTGCAACATATTCCGCAGCAGGTCCCTGCCCCAAGCCACACAGCAATTCCAACAGCGCCGGCAGATTCCTGGCATGGCTGGATTCGGCTCCGACCACCATGACCATGTTGAAAATGATGTAACACTGTCAGATTGATGTTCAAACTATCTATTGACATAAATGGACACAAATATCAGTTTCATCAGGTTTGTTGATGGACCATATACTATGACAGAAGAACAATGTGTGATGTAGCCTTTTGGTCCGTGATGGAATGATTAGGGAATTCAGCTCTCGCCACAGCCGTTCTGTTTATGCCTCTTTGGTCGTCAGTATCTTAAAGCTTCTTCAATGCGTAGGCTCTCAAATGAAAAGCACCCATCACATGACTGTATCCAAAATTGGAGATGCCGCAACCCTTGGTTGTCCGTAAAATATACATATATATATATTATATATATATATTGTGTATATATATATAATCTGGACCAATTCGATGGATCTGGGCATCCTACATCCCCAATTTTCGGGCCCCCCACATGACGTCCTCGGGCTGGGTCGAAGTGTCCGAACCAAAAATGGCCCATTGAACTTTGATCCGTTTGGGTGTGGGGTCTGAAAATGGGGGTATACTCAGTAACTGAATAAAATAGCCAGTTGCGAAAAAAGACTCTCTTCCTTGGGATTTGGGGGGATTTTCGGAGGTTTCCCAACACAGCTCTGCCTTGGGAAAGCCATGAGCCAGGCGTGGAGGATCAGAAAAGCACCTTGACGTTTGGGATAGTCCAACCTGCTCAGTGTGCGGAGGCACTGTGGCTTCTCAAAAAGAAAATGGGATCCTAGTTCATTCAAAACCACAGGGTCACTATTCACCAGGTTACTATAGAAATGAAGTTGCCTAAGACTTATTACTCCTCAATCTCCTTTTTGCAAGTGAAAAGACGTGAGTTTTCGCATCTTCCAGGTGAAACCCTTCTCTCTCTGGCACCTCCAGAACTCGAGGCATGCATGTTCATCCAAGAATGCCATGCTCGCCTCATCTCCAGTCGCGCCCCATGAGACCATAGATTGAACTGGATATGTTTAGTCTTAAACGTTCTTTTTAGCATCTAATTTTTTGGGGGCACCCAATGACTTGACCTATACCCATATGATCCCAAAAATGGAAGGTCCGAACATTCGGGCACCAATTTGCTTCGTCTGAAACATGGTGGATAGCCCCGAAATGACGATGTTCATGGTCTGTTCATGGAAAATGATGTTCATGTTTCATGAGATTCTGAGAGTTTCCCCCACCCTACCCTTTTTCGAGGCGCTAATTTGGAGATGGCCAGATGGGCAGGCGCCATGGGACCATCCAAACGAAAGGCTTTCGCCACCATGCTCACCAGGCCCCTGACAGGGAGAGAAACTACTCGAAATCTACTCCATGATTCTCCAGAACATGGATTTTTCGGTGTGGTCCTCCCATCCCAAGCCTTTCAGGCTTGCTATCCCTGCACCTGGCGACTGAACGTGCTGCTAAATGCTTGGCATTGCGGCTGTCAGACATCAGGAAGCCACGCTCCTATCCAGCAGGTCACCCAGAAATGCCTAGTAGAACTCCCTTTTGGCAAAGGGATGCATTTCTCAACTACCATGCTTTCGTTTTGAAAAAAAGGAATTAATCAAGCTACCGAAAAAAATGTAGTAATCTACTGTATTTAAATATATATATATATATAACTATATATTATATGTATATATAACTATGTATTATATATGTAATATATATATATTATATTATTATATAATCCACAAAAGTCTATAATCTACCAAAAAAATGGTGTGTATAATTGTGTATATATATATAATCGACCAAAGAAAGACAGGAATAGCTTTTTTCCTTGGTGCACCAAAAAAAGCCATGTTCGAAATCGCTCCTGGATGCTGAGCACGGCATCCTGCAGAATTTCCGTCTGAAAGACGGCGCTGCTGAAAAAGCGCTTGAAGCTGAAGCCCTGACTCTCGCCTTGGGAAATTCGCAACGAAACAACTGAGAGATCTCCAGCAAATCAGAATCTTCAGCAGGTTTTTTGTGGAAAAGGCTGGAAGAAATTGAAGAAATCCGGAACTTCGAAGTTGCAATGAATCTACGCCAGGTGACGAAAGCTCTCTGGCATGCATCCCAGAAGTACCTTGCCAAGTTCCGGGAAACATGACAGCCCTGCCATGTCCCCCGAAGAGTTCTTAATTGATCCCATCTCACATTTCCGGATGATTTTCTCATTTCAATGCCCAAGATTGGGAATTGTCCATTGCTGTGTTTCATTCCCAAAGGGTAGCACGAAGGGCGGTGGGGTTGCCTGAGTGACTCCTTCCACTGAGTCATTAAGAATACGCCTATCCCATGCCATTATAGTGGTTGTTTCATAGGTATGTAGGTTCATACAACCCAAAAATGCATAACCAATCAACCACCATTTATCAGATAGATCCCCCTTAATGATGCTTAAAATGCTGGCTGTAAGATCTACAGTTACCCCAGAAAAGTAAAAATAGATTATCACTTACTTACTTTTTTAGTAGGATTTTACTGTTCTATCATTTTGCTACTCGACATCCAAAAACAGTTTCACCTATAAAACTGATTTGGTTAACCCTTTTCATGACCTACAAGTTGGTGCCTCCCAGTTATATGTTGGTTGATAAAGCCCACTAGTTCGAGATATCTACCAAGCCATCCCGAACTGGCACCACCAGTGTGGTACCAGTGGTATCCCCTTGGATCCCACACTGACCAGGCGAGCACCGCCAGCGCTACATGACGCCCACAGTGCTTGGTGGCCGGGGTGGCTTCCGCTGGGATGGTGGCGTGACGACAGATCTCGACCCAGCCTCGAGATTTTCGCTGCCCAAGGGGGCCCCCAAGGGGCCCAAGTGGATAGGAACCAAGGTACTGGGGCATGTTCCAGGAAAAACTTGGGGTTCTGCTGGGATCCCCACCTCACCATGCTGGTTTCATGGTCTCTTGGATGATTTGGCGGGATCAGATGAATGGCTTGTGTACTACTGGGGACTCCAAAACATGTTTGTTAAAAAATTGGAAGAGCCATCCATAACATAGAGTTACGACAGCAAAATCACCAGCTTTGGGGATGCGATTTTCCCAATCAATTCTCTTCGTGGATGACTCGGTTTTTTAGAACCTCATTTTAGACTTGGGCATATCCCATATGGAAATGAACACTTTAGCCATATATGGCCCATGCGCGGTCAATCTAAAAATCCTTTGGAGGATGAAGACCTCCAACCGAGAAACCATCCCATCTTGGAATCCTCATGAGTCTGGAAATTGGAAAGATCTACCATCCGATTGGATGCTGTTCCTATCGAGAATGAAGAGATCTTTTTCCCAGCTCTCCCGGTTCTTGGCTTGATCCTTTCTCACCGCAAAACGTAGATGCACACCCTGTGTGCAGTGCAGAATTGAATCGAGAGAACTTCCCAAGTTCAATCTTCCCTTCCCAGCCGCAGCCTTCGATAAGCTTGTGCAAATGCTTCACATGCTCTGGGCTCGACAGCAAGGGATGGCGCGCAGCCTGCAAGGTCCGGAGGCTTGGATCAAAAGATTCTCTCGTCATTACATACCCCACATATGGGCTGCCGAAATAAAATAGATCAAGCACGAAACCATTCCTAGGGGGGGAAGAGATTGAAGAGACTAAATATTCTCTTTTGGATGAAAAAAGAAGTGGAGCTTCTCTCCACATCGCCTCTAGGTCCTCTAGATCCAGATGCTCAATGAACAAAGTCAGGCACAAGTCTCCCACGCACTGAGCTTGGCTGCCTGGGAGACCGGAAGCTTTTTTTTAGACCAACAAAACTTGGGGTTCAACCCAGAAAATTGTGCGATTTTCACCAGAAAAAAAGGAGGTTGAAGAAACAAAGCAGGCGGTTTAACGAGGATGGGTCATGCCACGTATGCCTCCCACCATCCTGGTCGCAGCTGAAGGGCAAATTTCTGCATCACCCAACAGCCAGTGATGCAGATGCGCTGCCCTTGGGAGGCTACCCAAAAACCGCTGCCGGTAGCATTCCTGTGCAAACTTGGCTGGGGATGGCGGATTGTGCTGGATCAGGGACAAGTTGCCCAGGTCCCCCAAAGAATCCCGTCCTCGGCAATTCGGCAGATCTGCTCTGGATCTCTCCTGTCTTTGAAACGGCAAGAAGGTCTGCAGTAACAGTTTTTGGGTGGAAACCAACAAACATCCAAACTGGAATGGCATTTTGAGTGGGCGAGAGGACTGGTGGTTTCTATGTTTTTTGCCCCACAAAACCTTTGAAGGGAACGCAGCAGGAAGGATCATAGGCAACCGCAGCAATTCTCTCAATTCGCTCCTGCTGATTTGAGGGTCATAGCCCGCCAACAGCAAGCATTCCAAAACGCACAGCTGCAACTCCAAACCTTGCTTCACCACTGTCTCAACCTGTGCCATCTTTTGGGATGGCTCTGGGTCAAAGCCATGAGAAAATCCACCAGTGTCAGTTGAGGACTGAAAATCCACTGAATCAACGGTTGCTTTTGTGACTAGTCAATCCATCTCGCCATGGCTTCTACGCCTCTGAATGCTCTGGGGAGGCTGAGAAGCGAGGACAGCTTGAGACCTGGCTGGATACGGGATGGGGATGCTTGAACCAACCAAAACCTTAAGGATGTATAGTAATCCCGACAAATCCAAGTGGTTTATATCAATCATTATCTTAGAACTTCTAGCAATTTTGGGGGGGTTTTGGGGGGTTGACATAACTCAATATCACCTGCAAAAATGGTGGTAGATTCAATAAATATGTACGAATATATATAATATATATATATATAATATATATATATATATTTATATATATATAGATAGATATATAACATAAATAAGTATACAGTATAACGTATTAACACATGGTGATGCACAGTAGTTCCAATCCCCTCATCACAAACAGTCCCTTTGGTGGGCCCAACAATATGCAGATTCAATACGTTTCCATATACTTCATAAGGGTTTCTGGGGGCGAAAGAGATTTCCTCAGCACGAAACCTGTTGACCTCGTTGAAAGCAAAGGAAGTTAAGACCAGATATGTTTACGACCAACAACGAACTGTGCGGAGAGGTTTCGTATGTTTCTGCCTCCATCATGCAAGAAGTTGTTATGCACAATAGTGTCCTTTTGGGATGCGTTCAAAATGTGGGTCGACCAACCTCTGGGAAAAGGATAGCGATAAGATGTCATGGGATGACACGTTTTATACCCAAAAGAAACAGTCATTGGATGCTTAAAAGTTCCCATTGCCAAAATGCAAAAAAATCTCCAAAGGTACCGTACCTGCACTATTTTTTGGACAGTGTTGTTTTGCAGAAAAAAAAATGGCCACAGTTTCCATCAAAATCGCCACAGTGTTTCCTTGTCCCAAACCCAAAAGTGTGTGGCGCCTTCATGTAGAGTTCCCAAAGTTTTTTCTCCAAATCCTCCGACAAAAGCTTCTCTGCCAGCTCCCGGCCTAGGCTTTGGCTTGGACCACCATGTAATGATATGTTTCTCTGCAAAGAGGTGGCAAAAAGATGTTATAAATGAGGACTTGGCCCCAAAAAAGGATACTGTAGGTTATTCTTACTATATACTATTCATATAGATACTTATATGTGTGTGTACGTATATAGATAGATAGATAGATAGATAGATAGATAGATAGATACGCGTATAGATGTATATATATATATGCTATTCTGTTTTCCCATGTGATGATATCGTTTTACCCAAGTTCCTTCATCTTCCGCCTCCCTTAACCACCCGTCCCCGTCCAGTCGTCCGAATTTCCCAAACCGGGCGGCATTGGGCTGCAAAGGGATGAGCGTCATCGTGCGCACCACGCAAGACCACTGCTAAAGCTTGCAAGGCCTGACCAAGAGGGATGCTCAAATAGGCCATGGCCAATGGCCATTCAATAGTGTTTTAAGAGTGGTTGTTAAGTTACATTCACAGATACTTATATATATGTTTGATAAGTTACTAACAAATGTTTAATCATTTTCCATGAAAATGGCTTGTGATTCACAGATGGTGTTCGATAATTTACATCCGCAGATGTTTACAGCATGTGGCCAATGTTCACTATATAGTAGTGGCTACTATGAATGGATATGATGGTGGATACACCTGACCTACAATACGGTTGCTATTCATGGTTCCCATTGATGAAAGGTTGATGTTCAATGGTTAATGTTCCATGGTTCATGTTCCATCGGTGATTTTAATGTTTAATGTTTGATGTTTGATAAGTTACATTCATGGTTTAGTACATTGATTGCTACTAATTGTTCCCAGTGGTCACCGTTGATGGTTGATGTTTCAGGGTTGATATTTGATAGTTACCCTCTGGTAATTTAAGAAAACTATTGAAAATGGCCCATTTATAGTTGATTTACCAATTAAAAATGGTGATTTTCCATAGTTATGTTAGTTTACCAGAGGGTACATTCATGATTTGTGGTTCAACCATTTGTGGTTACTGTTGATGCAACCAAAACAAGAGTCTCCAACATGAAACGGGCACGTTCACTCGATTGCCTTGGAAATGTTTATCTTGGCTCAAGGGAATCTCCCCAATGCCAAGAACTGGTATGTGGAATGAATGCTGCATCTACGTTGCATGTTTTTTTCACTTCGGAAAATGGCAGAAACCTCAACAGACCTTTACATTTGCCCGAATGGCCATGCAACGCACATTTTTTTTCAACTTGGACATTGAGTTGAACAGAGGGCGAGTTGCATCAAACGAGCAAAGGATGTTTTGCTCCCCGCAATTAATGGGCGCAACGCCCGATCATACAGATCATGTGCTGGTTGTACGTTTCTGACAGCCTGCAGGCCTGAGAACTGTCAGGAAGTTGCAAAGAGGAAAAGGTTACTGTTCATGGATGTTGATATCTTATTAATTACTAATTACCCATGTTTTTTTCCATGAACCTTCTGGGGCAGACCTGATCGGCCGCTCCTTCCGTGGGAGCTGAGCTCCACTCCGCTCCATTTGAAGAACTTACCCGAGTTTTGACAGACGTAGGGCTATGGCAATGGGTCCAAAAAACGGAAGTCAGTTGACTCACAAAACTATCCTGTCTAGTATTATCCACTCCATGCAATTTTGTAATTCTGACCCATGCACCTGCAACCCAAAAAAAATCGTCCCGCCTCGCAGCGTTCGACGTGCAGCAAGTTCGCCAGAGATGGCAACACTCCTGAACTTGTCTCCATGGTATTCCATGGTATCATGGTGGCCTTGGTGGACCTAGTGGACCTCTGGATCTTCAAAAGATGCCAGTAGGAAGCGACAAAAATATACAAAAATGAGCCAATGGAACCAATGGAACCAGCGGGTAAGTTGATCCGAAAACATCGACCTGATGCACTCGGTGCCACCCAGCATGTCACAGGTTATCGGTTATCACCCGACTGACCCGACCCTTTTGATTGGCTATCTTTGGTTGACAGTGGACAGCCAGTGGCCTCTAGTTCGGAGAAAACTATGGCATCCAACCCACATCATTTCCTTGAGGTTCCCTGATTCGTTGCACTCTGTGCACCAAGTGATCCTAATTTTGCAATCTGTGCACCAGCTATCTGAGTCTATCTGCACCCCTCAGAGCAACTATCATCATAGGCTCCTGCCAATCCGCCCACGTCCAAAAGCTCGTAGATGGATCCATCGAAATGCAGCACCGGCAACGCACTGAGACGTTCTGCAGCCAACAAACGCACCAAATGCTCCGACTCAGAGACACCTCAACCAGGGGGATCAATGCTACAATACCAAACAATTTTTGGATGAAGATTCATTTACTGGTGCTAAACGCAGGGAATGGATGGATATTATGGGGAATGCGGGTTGCTGGGATGATTATTACTAGTGATGACTGGGATCATTCCCGAAAATTCCCTGCGTTTAGCACCAGTAAGTTCATTTACCAGCCATTTTGATCTTAGGGGACCAGCAGCCAGGCGCACAGCGATTCACAGCGCAACGCTGGGTGCCGGAACCTATACCCAGCAAAGGCGCGGCCCTCTCCGCCAGCGATTTCACCTGTGACCATGACTTAGCATTGAAACCGGTGACGACGATACCACGACCTAGGAAACCTCTATATGACACCAAACAGGAGAAAGAACTGCCTTTCGCCGCAAGAATCTCCATGACTCCATGTCACCACCCTCGTTGTCTGGATATGCGCTAATGGTGATTCAAACGTCAAGTTGCAAGCCTGGTGTGGACCCTTTCTGTTTGCCCAGCCCCAATGGCAATTTCAAGACCCTAAAGTGGAGGTACTGTACCATACAGGGCCATATTTTGTGGGTATTCCCTTGCATAGGCTTATATACACATATAGAAATATATATACATATCATATATATATATATATGTATATATATATATATGAATACATCTATATATTTATACATATGTATGTATACATTTATATATATATATGTGTGTGTACACATATATACGTATTGATCTTATGTAGACCTTACATAGATCAGTACTTCTAATTGACCTGAAGTCCCTGATGGCCCATGGCCTCCGATGGCAAAGTATCAGATTTGCCCGACAAAATGGGGGACTCGAAGAAGCGATTTGGATCAGCAAGCCTCCAGGGCGGCACGCCACGGCAGGCAACCACCACACTAGACCAGTTCGGGTCTACTTGAATCATTGTTTGGTGAAAAATATGGGGAAAAATGCATTTTTTGAGGGAAAATACAATTTTTGTGGAAAAGATTGGGAGTCGCTATATTTTGAGGACGTTTCTTTGCTTCCGTTTCCCGCGTACATCAGGACAACGGATAAAGTGCGCAATTTCAAGGTCGGAATCTTCAGGCTCCATGAGGTCTGGGCCCATCCTCCCGCCTTTCTCGCAGCTGTGCATTGGTAAAAACCTTCTCGCCATCGCCTTCGCCACGTTCCAACCAGCTGCGAAAGTCCCGGGCGCTGTGAAAGACCTTGGACCCAGTTTTGTGAGGATTGGGGCAAGCGGATACTTCACGCAGTCAGATTTTTGAGGATGGAAGTGATGGAAGTGTATAAAAGCATGCGTGCTGCTTCATAGCTTCACACATTGCCATTTTGTGTTGTTCAGATCATGCTTTGGACATCTTTGGACACCATTCGAATAAAATTATTGTATTGTTGACTCACCATCAACCGTGAAACTCAGAAACTGCCAAAAGCCTGCATGTTTGATTCAACCCTTTTCTGCCTTCAGGCCAGAGTCACGTCAGCATGGACAATGAAGCTTCCGTGACAACCATTTAACAACCATACTTGGGAAATCACCAAGACCAAAAGGCAACCTCACCAAGTGCATCAAAGAACAGCAACATCCTCAACTTACAAAAAAAAATGCAAAGATTATTGTTGTAAGGCGCCATGAATTTCCTGACCAATCACAAAAATTTCAGCCAAGATGACAGCAGCTGCCATAGTTTTCGCTCAAAGCTCACATGGTGAGGACTGGGTGGAGCTGATAAGGCCCAAGGATAATGCTGCTGAAGCTAGTGGCTGGGGTGAAAAATGGTTATGATCCGTCATTTTGGTGCTTAAGATCCCCAGTTATGGTTGGATTTTAGCTGTTTTTCCATGAAACATGTGAAAGATGATGAGTTGGTGAGTGGCTAAAGCACCCAAGGCATTTTTCTGAGCCTCAGGGGGTCAATGGCTGGGGTTTGGCTGATCCCTGGAGCTGTTTGTCAGTTGTTTTCTTTTCTGACCAATAAAACATCAACTTTAACTTTAACAGTGGATTTGAGCCAAGAGGAAAAATTATAACATCTGCTGGCAGTCTGATGGTTTCTCCAGACTGCCTCACAGGGTCAAATTGCGAAAGCTACAGGGTAGGACTTCCTGCTTTGGCAAATTCTCCAGACCAGCAGGTGTGGACTAAATGTTTTGCTGTCCACTGTTTCTACTCGTGGAAGATCTGCAGGGGTTCTGATTCCATGACCACATGGGAGCGGAGAATACTTCAAAGAGCATGGCATGTCAGCAACAAAAACAACCTGGTGGCAGAAATGGGGTCATGAATGGTCATTGAAATTCCCATATTCGTATGTGACTTCCAAAAATACCCAGTTAGAAGATCTTCCCTACACTCCACCCAAGTTGCAGAGCTGCAGAGCTCTTTGTGTTATCGCTTTAGTGAGCCATCAAGCTGTGATCCCTTGACTTCCGAGGATCAAGCTGCCTTCGGCAGGACCTTCCAGATGGACCTGCTGCAAAGTTACATGGCGTTTGGCCCCATTTCGTATATCCATTGTATATAGCTCAATGGGTTCCAAGTCCCAGGCTGAGAATGGGATGCCGAGCAAAAAGGTCAGGCTCCCCTGGAAGCTGGTGCGGCGGACGCCCTCGAGACAGCTGCTGTTGACCTCCACCGTTTTCGTACCGCACTGCAGAGAGGGGCTGCAGCTGCCCTACACCCAGGCACCACATCGACAGGGGAAATCTCAGGGCGCATATGCGTAATGGACAATGAAATACACACCACAAGTCACATTGCTCTTGGCACAAAAGTTGAAGCTTTCACGCATGGGTTCGCATGGATCCAACATGTAGAAGCTAATCGCCCATTGGTAGTCGTCGGTCACTACAAAAACCTTGCTCCAGAATCCGGGCCAGTTGCGTAATAACTGAGAGAGAGTGCGTCCTTCACCCTGTCTGCAAAGTTTTTTTTGCGGCAACTCGTGGCCTTGTAAGGCACATCCAAAGTGCTACTTTCTAAGGGAAAGTAGTCGGTGAGTTTCCATGTCCAAGTTATACCTTCCATCGGGTCGGTGCATAAATAAATGGGTTTTTGATCACAAGTTTTGGTTCGGCTAACGCTGAAACTGAAACCACTGTCTAGTCGGTCCTCTTGAAATCTGTTGTACCCTGATTGTTACATTTTTCAAAACCCACGCAAGTAATTTTTTTCAAGTTTGTTGATAAGTATCACAACATTTACGCCAATTATGATCAGTTTCAAAACGGGACCAAAGCCAAGACACTGTGAAAGCATCAATAATTTTTACACTTGTGGTTGCCATCGTTCCAGACCACGTGATCACAACTTCCCAAAACCGCATCTTCTGGAGACAGGATCTGAACCAAGTCGTTGTCGGGGAAAACATTTTTTCTGTAGCTGGGGCCAAAATGAGACCACAAGGCCCAAGAACCCAATGCCTCGACAAAAAGTGTTTATTTTCGCTCAGCCAAAAGCGTCTGGAACATACACTTCTCTGCTTGTGCATTTGCACATGAGACTGCCATGCAATTCGCAACTGTATATACGCTATTGGTAGCTGGATTACTGCAGGGTAAATCACTTGCACCCCACTTTGACATCATTGACTTTTCCAATGGTAAGTGCTGCATGGGGCACGCATTGGTGGGCCACGACTTGCAAATTCCTTTTCAGACAAACCTCCGACACAGCGTGAAACCTCAACTGCTAAGTGCCAACTGAGATCACGTTAGCTCAGGCTAAAGCACATTTTGAGTTCATCTCCAGTTTGCTGTTTGGACATGAACATTTTTTCTCATTGTCCATGTTTCAACCTTCCATGTTTTTTTCTTCACTTTTGTTGTTGTTGTTGTTGTTGTGGTGTTGTGGCGGCTCACAGCAGTAGCTGCAGCCCGGGAACACACCTCCACCAGCAGATCGACAGAGAAGCTCCCATGAACAAACCAAACGTCATTGCAAGTCCTCCCTGCCAGCTTCAGGTGGCCCAAACTATTTTTTAATTTAACCAATGATCAAAAGGGACCGAAGCAGATTCAAACAAAAAAACAAAGCAAAAGGTGAACCCAAAGAGCATACCAGCCTTTTTCCCAGCATAGCACCAACTGCGTGCCCAGGTAGGAAACCAGGCGCCCTTCATCGGAGACCCGACTGGCAATGGCATCAAACCCCGGTAAAATACCAATGACTCACCCGAACAAAGTTGGCAATATCAGCACCTAAAGAGGACAGAGTAGTTCCCAACCAACGACCCCATAAGGATCTCGACCCCCGCCACCGCACAGAACATCCCCAACAGCCTCGTCCCAACACCAAATCCCCTTGCCCAATTGCCAGACCATGATATTGTTTTGAACATCCTAAATCTTCTGCGTCATTGACTTTAACCTTCACCAACATCATTGCCATGGAAAACGTTGATGGGAGATCTAGCGATGAAAGCCTCGTTGAAGACCTGGGAGCGCAATTTCACCCGCTGACATTAACGCGAAGACTTGCGCTTGAAAATGATGTTGACGCCCCAACTACTATGATTCGAAGTTCTCTTGTATTGGTTGCCTGCCCAAAACCTACCTTCTGTGCCCCTCCTCTGAAGTTTTTGCCTGAAGATGCTAGCTTCGATCCTTGTAGGAATCTAGTTGAGATTCATGAAAGGATCGAGAGTTTCGATGGTGCCCTCCCTCTGCGATCACTAGATCTCTTTGCTGGGTCTGATATTTTGAAGCCCAATGCGGGAAGAATGACATCTGTTAGCTACGATGTTCTGAGGGATCGGCTAACAGTCCTACCCACACCGCAGCTTAGCCAAAACGTCACGTGCAGATGGCCTCTCCAAACTTGGCGGAACACCCCGGCGATAAGATATCGTGACCAAATCGCAGGCGTCGGGTTCCTTTTTTCGCGCAACTGACCTTCGAGTTGTGGCCAGGTTCGCTTGCGCACGGAAATGACTGAATCAACTGAATCAAGGTCATCAAAGTGCTCAAGCGGAACGGAACGAATTATCATCCTATAGGTGATTTAGTAATAATAAGTACAAAATGCAGGAGATTTGGTACTCCAGGACTAGCACCTACTCATAGTCCAACTGATGTGGTCCACGGGTCGGGACCCTACGCTGCCATCAGATCTGCTCGCAGTTCAGCATCTAGTTCTCCACCGCCATGGCACACGTCGAAGATGCAGTCCCCAAAGACCTCAAGTGCCCAGGAACCAAAAAAGCATTTGTCGAATTCCTTTAAGCATCCAAGAAAAAATGGCTATTCAAAAGGCCCAAATCCAATCATCCAAGATCATCCAAAATCATCCAAAACTTCACACTTTGCAATCTTTGAAAGTTATCCGACTTGAACACCGAACTTCGTCCGCCCTGCCTCGGATTGATTGCTCGCTTCATTTGGCAAATGCTTGGCACAAA